TCTCAGTTTTATAAGCTAATGACTCGGGTGGGCTCCTCTCGCTCCATATCTGAACTCAGCATTGCAGCCTGTGACTGTCTTCAATCATGCACCTGCACAGTCATTGTTCTCAAGCCTTCAGCTACTCTGAGTTTTTGTGTATCGGCCCTACCTCGCCATGGCTAAACGTGGTACCACGGATGATCAGGCAACAGATGGTCGTAACGTCAGAACAAAGGCAACACCGAAGGCCAGCTATGTTTACAAGGAAGCCTCCTCAGAGCCTAGTGATGGGGAAGGCACTTCATCTCTGGCGTCCACTCCGAAGCCACTTCCGCCCCTTCCCACTCCGATGTTGCCGCCGCCTTCATCCGTTGGCGAGATGCATGATGACCCTGGCTCGGACAGGAATCCTGTTCCGGGTAAGCCTGGTGCAGTGGCCGCTGCAATGAGACCCAGACCATTGCGCCCTCTGGCAGCGAGTCTTCCGGCATCAGGCCCACTCCACCTACTCCGGCCTTGGCGAACTCTGGCACCAGCACGGGATCCTTCTCATTTACCCCCATTGGCACGACACCTAACCTAGCCCATTGCCCTGGCTTCATTCACCTCCTGGCAGCCACAGTGGTGGAGTTCACATGTACATCCAGCCAACTCCGATTCAGCCGACCTGGTGTGCTATCACCGTTCAGGCGGATGCCATTCCAACTGAGGCCTCTGTCAGGCAGAAGCCTCGGCTCCGCATACTCTGTAAAGTTGCACACCTGGGAGCTGCCACGATATGTGACAATGTGTCAGTCAGTGCCCTCTGCCTCACGGCCTCTGTCCTTCTTTGGCTTGTGCAATTGCATCTCCTCTGCTGATGCCCAGGCTGCGACCCCGCAAGGATGCATCACTCTCAAGCTCTCTGGAGCTCTGCCTGAAGCTTGGTTGTCCAGAGTGTTTGCTTGTCATAGAGTGTGCGCTGAACTTTTGCAACCTCCTACCCATCCCTGGAATTTCGTCAGTTGCCACTAGCTCCATTTTGTCTGAGTGCCCTCGGCAGTGTGCTGCCAGACCTCAGTCCTATCTCTTGGCATCATGGCTGAAAGCGCTGCCTCTCCGTATGACTCTTCCAGATCTGGGCTGTCGACCCCGGACAGTGAGAAGATTGAGGCGCCCATGGATCCAGCAGAACTTGAGGCACGCTGCTCGTCTGCTGGAGCAAGGACTTCCATGTGGACCTCTTCCACCTACCCCGGTTGTTTCAGGACTGGCTGGAGGCACTGCCAACACGAGACACCGAGCATGCCGGCTGCGACAGCTGCACCGACGACGCCGAGACGATCATCGATGCTCTATTCTCCGCCCAGGTTCCACAATGCAGTCGCGGTCCTCGAAGCAATAGCAGAACAGGAGACACGATGGCCAGAGTGTCGTCTGATGTACCTCCCCTTCCTGGCGTCTGCCAACACGTGGTTTCCACACACGAGTCACTCAGGTTGCGGGGTCCTCGCCTGATGGTGGTAATCTCAGGTACTTCACTTGCATGCTCAGGCTCATGTCACAGGATCCTGGCAGCGCCAAGGTACCCTGCCACATCTTCCGTCCAAGGAGTCTCTTAAGTACCCGTCCAGAGTGCCACTCAGATGTTCGCTTACTCCTCTTTTGGACAGCTGCTATGGCGTGATTTGTTGCTTCATAGGTCTGCAGGATTTACTGGAGACATGACAGTCTGTTGCTATAGGAATCTGGCCCCTGCTCTCACACGTCATCAATGAGGTCGGTGACCTCTTGGGTCACACGACTACATCGATGCTGGACAGTGCAACTGCCGAACTCGCCTTTCAAGCTTGGCGCGAATCGGCGCCCTGATGCATCTGCGACATCCTTTGCTGAATCTCTGGCAGGCCAGTCTGCTCACACAAACAGGTCCAGATCCAGATCTCGAGGGCGTCCTCAGCGAGTGGACTCCTCAGCTGATGCTGGCGGGAATGCTGCTTCCACTGCACATGTGCAGTGGACACTGGTGGCGTTATTTCCACAACAGGAGGCAACTTTATCTTGGAGCCGTCGCATGAGCCGCGCGACTTCATGCGTATCTTTGTCACCCTGCGTCTCACACCCCGACCCTGAGTGCCTGGTGCCACCTTTCCGCGTTGGACACTGAGTTGCTCTCGAGTCAAATGGGTCTTGATCTGATGATTGTTAGGCCCTGTCCCTACTGCCTCGAGCATACCTTTAATGAGCAAACTCACTGGAAACGCTGCCATGTGATCACAGTCCGCATCCAGCCATGACCCCGGCTCCCACGAGCCCGTCACAGCCTCTTCAGGGCCCACTGGGCCCACCTCTTCAGGGCCCACTAAGCCAATCGGTGAACAATGTTCTGGCGTTTCATTTCGGTGTTCTCCCCTCCACAAGGACAGACACCAAAGTCGGGACCATGTCCCTCCTCGAAGCGACCCCGTCAGGGCAAGGAGACAGAGGATCAGGATGTCCCGATGAGACAGCTGCTGGTTCGATGGAAGATCCGTTTAAAGAGTTTAGACAGGGCACTCTGCCAGCCAAGGGATGCGGCTCTTGGAAGGGCTGGGGCAAAGGACGGTCACCATGGAAGGGCAAGGGAAAGGCTCCGGCAGACCTCCTTCCAACAGCTCCTCAAGCGACAACGGCTGGAATCACCCAACAGACCATTATGCTCTGGGTCCGGAGAATGTGCTGCTCAACCAGATGGCCAGGCTGGTTCTTCGACACGAACATCAACTCCAGGCGATTCAGCAGGACATGAAATTGCATCTATTCCTCAGGCCAGACCTGCTTCGGTGGTGCCTCTTATGATGCGGGTGGCCAAACGGTGGAGGGAACTGGCAGATACCAATCAGGTGCGATCCTCTTTGAGGGAGACCATGCGGGGTTGAAGAGTCGCATCGCTCTGCCCAATCCGAGAGCAAAGCCAGGCAGTCAAGATGAACTGGATCGACAGCCAAGGGTCCTGGAATTACTTTCGGTGGAATCCAACCTCACAGGAGGAACTGGTCCCTCAGGTGGAAAATCGATCCACAAAACAGATTCTTCAGGACCTGGATGCCGTCGAGGACTTGATCAGCGGAACAGCGGAACCACCATCAGGCACTTCGGATCGGTCAGACCTTTTCGGCAGAATTACGGACGTGCAGTTTGCCCTAGAAGTAGAACTTCAGACGGATGGGGACCTTTTGGAAGCATTTGAATGCCTACATAAAACAACTCCGTGCTTCACCTCCTTGCAGCTCATCGGAGGGACGGGCCAATTCCCTCAGGGCTGGCGCAGGCTCTTCAACAGCATCTCGGGTCGTGTCAGCCCCTCAGATCTCTCGTCTGCTGGATCTTGAGCTCACTCAACTTCGACTGTTCAGCCACTCAGCCCCACATCGTGCACCTGTTACATGAACAGTCTATTGCTTGTATTGTTGCATACTCTTCAGTGTCATGCGCCGACCCGCAAGGATGCATTGGGCAAGCTCCATGGTGTTTATGATGCTCTACACCAGCACTCAGGTGATCTTGACATTAGTCGGCATTACACATGGCTTATGCTGGTTAGTCCCTGGCCGCAACCTTTTCGCCGGCATGATGTGGCTGAGCTTGCGCAACATGTCGTTCCTCGACTTCGCATTCCTGCTCTGCAGGGGTGCTGGCAGGCTCGGCGCTTTGAGGCTGGCCATTGCCTCTCTCTTGATACTGGCCCGGTTGCTTGTCCCATTCCCATGGTATTGCAGGGTGAGGATAGGATTGCATTGACAAGTGGCATTCCCAGTCATCCTCCTCTCTTCATGCGTTTGACAATACTGTCACCACAGTCGTCATACAGCTGATGAGGTTCAATGCTCAGGGGGGTCGGACGCCGGAGTCAAACGCTTACAACATGTGCCAAACATTTTGGATTATGTGCTTCTTCCGGTATATGTGGATGACCATACCATGCACTGCGACCATTGTGTTCAGGTTGCTTCAATCATCGTCCACTACGGGGACACTCCTGACTCGGGTCACTACAGATGCCTTTGGAAACAAAAAGATGTCACACTGCTTACAGACGATGTGCAACATGCAGTTGCATCTGCTGTCTGCTCCAATGCCTACCTCGTATGGCTTGTGCGAACTCCCGAGCTCAGGTCGTCCATGACTTGAGAACGACCAAGACTCGCAGGCGCTTTTGTGGAGCTTAAAAGTTTGTCATGGTGGCCGAGCTCTACCGATCCTGATCTCTTTGGACCTCGGGACGTGAGAGCTTCTTGGAGGCAGGACCCAGACCTCCGTAGGTGTTAGTGAGCCCAATAGGTGTGTGCCTTGCGAGCCTCTCGAGCATAGCATAGTCCTCGCCCGTGCGGTGCTGCTTGTGTGGCGGCCAGTTCCTGCTCAAGGGTGTGTGCGCAGCGACGGCGACCGAGGGCTCATTGCAAAACTTGAGGGACAGGGTTGCAACTTATCATCTCGAACAGCTTCTTGCTCGGAAGAAGCCAGAAGGGCGATCGCACGAGTCCTGGGGGAGGATTCTTGATACAGTGCAGACAAGTCTGGTTGCGAAACTAGATTCTTTGCACTCCGTGCAGAGCATTTGGCAGTTTGCGCATCGAACTTTGAAGTGTGAAGACCTGAAGGCAGCCTTTAGGGAGTTTGCATTTGACGACGTGAGCAAGTTTGCAATTCCTGAGCAAGTGCAGCAAGATTTTCTTCATTCAAACAGCGAATCTTCAACCTTGGAATGCGACCTTGAGTTGTTTGAGCTTTCATTTTCACTGTCTGAGCAAGATTTGAGCGGAGATCGTCAGTGCGCAGCAGATCCTTCTGCGGCATCCTCATCGGCACGAGTGTTTGCGAGGATTCAACCAGGAACAGCAGAACTAGGTGATCTTGATCAGCTTGGCACATCAAGTCCTAAGAGGGCACGACTTTCTTCTTCGCTTAGGTCGGGTGAAACAGTTGATTTGGAGTGTGAAGAGCACGATCGTTGAGAAGTTTTCTTTCACGTTTTCCTGTGACGTTTTCCTGTGGCAGAGATGGAGGGCGAGCCTCAGGGATCAGCTTCATCGAATCCGTTCCAGACAGGTACGGCATCTGCATCAAATCCTGCTTCGCCTACAGCGCAGAGTGTGTCTGCGCCCCAAACGCTAGAGATCTTGGGCAACATGCTTCAACAGACCCAAGAGCAGAACAAGGTGTTCATGACAGCAGTGCAAGCCATGTCTCTAGAGCAGGAGAGGCAGGCTTCGAACCTCAAGAGTGCAGTGAACAGCTTGCAAGACCGGGGTTCATCAGGAGCCAACTTCTCGAAACTGTTGCAGAGGCCAGATGTTTTTCGTCCAAAAGACAGAGAGGAGGAGCTCACATTGTGGTATGAGTGGGCATGGACCTTTAAACAGTCGATGCTTGCTGTCAGTCCTGAAATACATGGTCATCTGCTAGAGATTGAGAAGGATTTGGGGAGAGAGATGGATGAGTTTGAGGTGAGTGATGATGCCATGGCTCTGAGTAACAAGCTGTATGCCGTTTTGACCACCATGTTGAGAGAGCGTCCATTGCAGTTGCTAAGAAGTGTGCCAAACAACAACGGCTTTGAGGCCTGGCGGGTATTGCATACCACGCTGGCCCCTACAAGCAAGACACGAGCGTTGGCACTGTTAGGAGCGATTTCCCAGTATCCCAACATGTCGCAAGGAAATTTGCTCGAACAGCTACTAAAGATGGAGGACCTCTTCAAGAAGTACGAGCAAGCGGCTAACAAGCCGGTGCCAGAGGAGGTGAAGTTTGCTTTGTTGTTGAGAGTTTTGCCTCAGTCCGTGAAGTCCCGCTCGACTGTGAGTATCACTGACGAGTCCACGTATGATCAGATGCGCGAAGTGATTTTGCGTTGGGAGCGGTCGTCACAGAAGTGGTCATCTCAGATTGTCACTGGGAGTGCGCAGTTCAGGAATCAACCTAGTGATGATGGCGGTTTAGCTCCTATGGATGTGGACAGGGTCAAGGGCAAGTGGGGCGACAAGGGCAAGGGTGGCTTTTCGGGCAAAGGTGGCAAGGGCAAAGACGGGAAATCGAAGGGAACGGGCTATGGTGATCAGAAGGGGAGAGGCAAGTATGGTGGAGGAAAACCGCAAGCATAGATTCGGCAACGACTCCAAGGGCAAGAACAAAGGGGGAGAGAAGGGGAAGAAAGGAAAAGGCCAAGGAGGGGGTAATCTTCATCCAGAGGCTTGTCGAATTTGTGGCAAACACGGTCACTGGGGAAATGAGTGCTGGATGAAGGACGAGGTCAGGTACATCAGCGAATCTCCCACTTCCGCGACTACTACTACTACTACTACTAGTAGTAGTAGTAGTAGTAGTAGTACTACTACTACTACTACTACTACTACTACTATTCCCTCTACCGCGAGTTCGGTGGCCCCCAGCGTGAAGCGCGTGTTCAACTGGGAAGCTGATGATGCTCGCGATGCTCCTCTCACGACGATCTTTGAGATGGCGAGCGAGAGCTCCGAGGTTCAGTCCGTAGCAGAGTCCGAGTGGTGGTGCAGAGTTGTTCAGCACTTCGAAGTTCACGCAGATGACGATCTAGAGGTCATTGATTGTTCACTGGAGGGTTATGCGTGCCATGATCTCACCATGTTTGATGCCTATGAAGCTGACTGTGACTGGTGTGCGGATGTGCAAGTCAGGGGTGTCAAATACCACAGCAAAGCACGAGTAGAACCCTTGGTGGATGGCAGTCATCATCAGGTCGTGTTAGACAGCGGGGCTGATCTGAGTGTGATGCCGAGAGCTTGGTTGGAAGCTGGTTATGGTTCCGAGAACACGGCAGGGCCAGTCGTGAGAATGATGGATGCGCAAGGTGGGCTGATGGCCAACCTTGGGAGCAGAAAGGTGACTTTGGATTTGGGGCAGGCGTGTGTTCAAGAAGTGTTTCATGCGTCTGATGTGAATGTTCCTTTGTTGTCACTGGGCCGATTGCTGAAGAAGGGGTGGAGCCTTGAGCACAGGTGCAACATGTTGCACTTGTGTAATGACGGCGAAGGCGTGGAGATCCCCGTGTCCTTTAAGCAGAATAGCTTGGTTGTCGATGCGCAGGTGTTTGCAGTGAGAGAGGATTCCAAGGTCCAGGCCGTAGATCAACCACGCATCGTTGTTCAGACAACATACAACATCCATTCCCAGGCCCCGAGTGGAGTTTCCTTGAGTGCGGTGACCCGTGCCTCTTGACGAGGGGCAAGGCTAGGCATGATCCATCGGATGTGCTAGGAGTCCAACTGTGGCAGTATAGAACTACTCTGGCATTCAGGGGCAACGAGTGGGAGTTGATTGATTACGAGGAGCCCGTTGCAGACTTGGAGAACCTAGCAGAGTCCATTGAAACTGATGAAGACATTCCCATCTTCACTGTCATGCATCGCAGCAAGGGCAACGAACCGGATCGATATGGCATGGAGCTCATTGCGGCTATGCCCAAACGGGATGAAGGCAGTGTTGATCCAGTGGCGAGTGCATTCTTTGGCTCTGACCCTGTGGACGAAGATGAGGTGATTGACCTACCAGCGGGATGGACCTCGGTGGCGGGGTTGATCTGCCAGGTGTGGATGCACTTGATGCGGAACAGGGTGATAGGATTTCAGCTCCAGCACCTGTCTTGCTGGCAGGCAATTCGGATGAGCATGTAGATGTGGAAGGGGTTAGGCTTGGGCCAGATTCGAGTGCTCGAGAGCTTCGTGCAGGGTGTCAGCGACTTGGTCTCGGCATGTCAGGTTCGAAGAACGTCCTCTACCGGAGACTGGTTGCGCACTCAAAGAAGAGAGCTCTTGAGGATTCATTGGCTTTGGAGAACGCGGCTAGACCACATGTTCATCAACCCAGGGGAGAACCGGTGCCCGAGCAACCAACGGATGAGCAAAGAGCCGAGCACGAGCTCACCCATGTGCCGTTCAAGAAGTGGCGTGATTATTGTGTGAGTTCCAGGTCACGACGGGATGCCCATCGGCAAGAAGATGAGCGGCATGACACCGACGGTGGGGACCCTATCATTGCCTTTGACTTCTTTTATGTCGATGTTGGCGGTGAGGATCTTGAGTTCATGACCAAGAATACGGGTGGCAAGGACCTCCTCACAATCTTGATTCTTGTGGACAAGAGTACCGGCATGTGTAGGGCCATTCCACTGCCGACGAGTCTCTTGTGCACGGCGCTAAGGAGATGCTAGGGTTCATATCGTACTTGGGGTACCAGGGAGTCGGCATCAGAGGTGACAACGAACCCTCGGCAGTGGCTCTTTCGAACATGGTGTGCCAAGCACGGACAAAGCTCGGGTTGCGCACGGTGGACAAACCTTCCCAACCATACGAGCATCTCACAAATGGAGCAGCTGAACAAGCAGTGCAAGGAATCAGGGAGTTGGGGACAACACTGTTGGCGCAATTGAAATCCAAGTCAGGAGCTGAGCTTCGGAGTGATGATGATTTGGTGGGATGGGCGTTTGTGCACGCCTCGATGTTGCACAATGCCTTTTCTGTGCGTGCAGGCACAACCCCGTATGAGAGAGCATTCGGCATAGCATACAGGGGAAAACTTGCATGCTTCGGTGAGGCAGTCTTCTTTGCCGTGAATCAGAACCATGTCCGAAAAGGGAAGCCGAAGTTTGTGAAAGGCGTGTGGTTGGGGAAGACGTTGACTAACGACTTGAATGTGTGCGGTACGGCGCTGGGCATCTACTTGTCAGGAACAATTCGAAGGATGGCTCCAGATCAACAGTGGAGCAAGCATATGATCAAGGAGTTCACCGGTAAACCGTACAAGCTCTCGTTGAGCACCTTTGGCAAAGTTGTGATCCCGGGCATGAAGGACAATCGGACGCCAGAGGCGATTGAAGCGGTGCCTGGGCCTTACCCATTGCCAGCTCCTGAGAAGAAGAAGCCGGAGTCACCGAAAGATGAAGCAGGTTCGGACCCGGTGTCGTCCCCGTGATCTTCCCAGCATGCTGCTTCCTCGAGCAGGTCAAGCCTTCGGTCTTACTTTCCGTCGGATGCGGGCTCAGGAGGGGCTACATCGCATCAAAGCTCTGGGTCTGCGTCTGCAGGCATGAATGAGGCTGAAGGTGAAGGAAGCCAGTGAGGTGAAATGGAGGTTGAGGCCAGCCGGGGCGAGAAGCGTGAAGCACCTCCATTCAGGTGGAAAGAGTTCGAAGATTTCGGCCGTGACGGTGGAAGGCGAAGAGTTGTATGTGTTGGACGAGCACTTAGATCTTGATTTCCCTGTCGACGAGGAAACGAGTGCCTACTATGAGGATGTGGAGTTCGAGGACCATGGTGAATCGTGGCATGGAAGGGGTGAGAAAGATGGACCCCCAGATTTAAGCCAAGAGGAGCTCGAACAAGTGGATGTGGCCTCCCAGGCCCATGAAGTGAAGCGATTGGTTGAAATGGGGGTGTTGGAGCAGGTTGAAGCTCTGCCCCCAGGAGCGGAGTTGCTTAAGACAAAACATGTCATAGACTGGCGCTTTCGTGAAGGTCAGTGGCAGCGAAGTGCGCGCTTGGTGTGCAAGCAGCTGAAGGTGTGGGACCCAAACAGAAGTGATGTTTACGCTCCAAGTACCAGCCCATCATCATCAAAGCTTCTTCCAGCACTGATGGCATCCAGGAGCTCATGGAAGCTGCAATCATTCGACGTGAAGGACGCTTTCCTCACGGTGAAGCAGCGTGATGAGCTTTATGTTCTTCTTGATGGGGCTCCATTTAGGGTGCTTCGGTGTTTGCCAGGACAACAGCCGGCCGCAGCTTGGTGGTCGGAACAGTTGACAGAGGATTTGAAGGAGACCGGATTGCTCCCAGATGCGGCTTGTCCATCTGCGTTTGGGGTGGAAGGTGTTGGGGTGATGATTCATGTCGATGAAGGTCTCATGGGAGGAGAAGAGTACTACCTGGAGAAGGTGAGAACCCTTCTCGAGCGCAAGTACAAGCTTCAGGTTTCAGATGTTGCATTCAATGTAGGTGATGCAGTCAAGTTCCCAAAGAAGGAGTTTGTGATAACCGATGTCGGGATTGAGGTCAAGGTGAGTGCACATTACTTGGAGAAGATCTTCGGCATCCTTGACATCAAGAGGCCTAGAACTAGGAGAACCCCATGTTCAGCTGAGATCACCCAGCCTGATGACTCGGAGGTGTGTGATGAAGAGATGGCGGGAAGGTATCGTGGAGCCATAGGCGGTTTCCTTTAGCTTTCACCAGACCGTCCTGATTGTTAATGGGCCATTGCACATCTTGCAAGGGCGAAGAGCCGTCCGACGATGAAGATGTTCA